CAGATACATTACTGTGAAATTTCTCAGCACCAGAGGGGAAGACAAGATCCTACAAGGTTTCAGCAAGAGGGGATAACCTGTTTATGATGAGAAGAATAAGAATCTTCCGGCCTTCAGACTTCTCATTAACAACCCCAGATACTTAGTAAACAGAGAAGTGATACCATGGAGATTCTCAGAAAAGGTCTTAAATCCACCATCATAAAGATGGGGAAAACAGGCTCTAATTAAAAGAACAAAGAAATAGTTGGACATACAAAAACTTAAGATATTTAATACACAGATTCTCTCTCTTAAAATGTGCTATTAATCTGTGATGTGTGTGTCAATATTTCATTCATCTTATTGCTGTTATTCAATAATGTCCCATCCTATATGGGTCTGATCCCTTCATTGGCAACTCCGTGTCACAGGTATTCCATCAGTAGTACTCCATCAGTACTAAATCCCAGTATTTTACAATCTGAACTAGGTAAATGTTGATAAGCCCGGGCTTTCTGTAGTACAATCTGAGCTGTCTTCAATAGGAGCAGGCTACATTTCCCCACATGACCAATCCCTGCCTGAGCTATAAAGCAGGTGATTCTGGGAAAGAAATCTGAGAATGACTTCCTTGGAGCCTCTCTGGAAGGGACTCTATGGGTATTCCTGATGACCAATTCCTCTGGAAAGCTCCATGGACTGATCTTCAAATAATAAGAATTAGAAAAACATCAAAAGTCTCAAAATTCACTTTTTAGGGAGCCTCTGAAAGTAGATGGTTCACAAAATTGCCTCAGAACAAACAAAACCCAAACCAGAAATCTACATAAATCAGTCAGCTTCCACCAAAGACCATTGAACCAAATTCTCCCAGATGTCTCCAACTACTAACAGTGCTATTCTGTTTATATAATTTTGTCCCTTGTTGTTTAGATTGTATTATTCTTTTTTTCTAGGTTAAGGTTATGCAATTCTAATTTTCCACAAAATGTTTCCCTTGCTGCGTGCTAAGTCACTTAAGTTGTGCCCAACTCTTTGCGACTCCACGGACTGTAGCCCACCAGGCTTCTCTGCTCATAGGATTCTCCAGGCAAGAATACCCGGGTGGGGTTGCCATTTCCTTCTCCAGGGGATCTTCCTGACCCAGGGTTCAAACCACATCTCTTACATCTCCTGCATTGGCAGGCAAGTTCACCACTAGCTCCATGCGTGGGTTTCGCTTAACTACAAATAACAACTTTAGGTTTTAAAGACAATCCCATCCTGACTCTATAAATTACTTTTTCCAAGTCATTGCTGGTTCAGTCAACTTAAAGAATTTCTGCACTTGATAGTTACTAAAAATAAGAATCCATAATTAATGGATGTAAATTCTACTGATGCTACTAAATTTAACAAGGATATTCTGATCAACAACTAGATTTTAGGAATGTTAGAAAGACACCGTTAATAAACATTCATGGAATATTTTCTGGAACAACTTTTTTGACTGCACCCCACAGCATGTGGCATTGTAGCTCCCCAACCAGTGATGGAATCCGTGCCCCTTGGCATTGGAAGAGCGAAGTCTTAACCAATGGACCGCCAGGAAGGTCCCTGGAACAATACTTTTGGTAAGTCTTGTTGATAAGACTGGGTCAAGTTTGTTCAAGGTTATAAAAATATTATCTTTCAACCTAATCATTTCAATCAGTCCATCCGCAGCCAGACTAGCCCTTTGTCGGTGTTCAGAGGTGTTTCCTGTCTAGTAATGTGCGTGCATGCTAAGTCACTTCAGTCGTGTCTGACTCTTTGTGACCCTGTAGACTGTAGCCCACCAGGCTCCTCTGTCCACGGGATTTCAAATTTCTTAGGCATAGGAGAGAAAAGGATGGTCCTAAACTGTGCTACATTAATTTTACCACTTTTTTTGGGGGATAATACTACAAAAAGCAAATATCCCTGTGCTGTGAAGACAGACATACACATATTTCTGAGAATCAGGAACTGTGTTTTGTGACATAACCCAGACATGGAGAACCTACGGAATTAGTCATTTTAACCACACCTCGTAAGAGGCTCCTGGGTTCTTATTCTGTGAAGGAATCAGGTTCTTCTCCAAGTGTGGGAATCTTGGACCATTTCCGTGTATTTCTTCCCCAGCTCCCTCAGTGGACTGTAGGTCTTCTCAAAGAGTCTGGAACTGTCACGTATACCTGGAGTTGTGCCTGCTAGCTAATGAGATACCTCTAGCCTTAGGCTGTCATAAAGAACACACTTCAGTCAAATTCGTCTGTGATTTTTAGCCCAGAGTTTGAATTTTACTTGACTGCCTGGTAAGAGTCTGTGGCATTGCAAACACACAGGATTAACACCAGAAATGCACTGGAGCCATCTGAGTGTAAGATAAATGAAACGTCCGCAGATCTCAGTGCTTTTACAGCAAGACACGGTTTCTTTTCCTGAGTTAGGTCACTGATAGCTGAAAGTGAAAGTCACTCTGTCGTGTCCGACTGTGCAACCCCACGGACTATACTGTCCACGGAATTCTCCAGGCCAGAACACTGGAGTGGGTTTGCCTTTCCCTTCTCCATGGGGTCTTCTCAACCCAGGGATCAAACCCAGGTCTCCTGCATTGCAGGCAGATTCTTTACCAGCTGAGCCACAAGGGAAGCCCTATCCCTGATAAAATAAAAGTGATTTACCTCCATGCTTTTATCTCTGTTTGCAAGAGATATTATGTGTGCTAAGCTATCTGACTGCTGATAATTTTTTAAAATTTCTTTATGTGGTTTTGGTTTTTAAAAAAAAATATTTATTTGCTTTTTTTTTCATTTATTTTTATTAGTTGGAAGCTAATTACTTTACAATATTGTAGTGGGTTTTGTCATACATTGGCATGAATCAGCCATGGAGTTACATGTATTTCCCATCCCGATCCCCCCTCCCACCTCCCTCTCCACCCGATTCCTCTGGATCTTCCCAGTGCACCAGGCCCGAGCACTTGTCTCATGCATCCAACCTGGGCTGGTGATCTGTTTCACCCTAGATAATATACATGTTTCAATGCTGTTCTCTTGAAACATCCCACCCTTGCCTTCTCCCACAGAGTCCACAAGTCTGTTCTATACATCTGAGTCTCTTTTTCTGTTTTGCATATAGGGTTATCGTTACCATCTTTCTAAATTCCATATATATGTGTTAGTATACTGTAATGGTCTTTATCTTTCTGGCTTACTTCGCTCTGTATAATGGGCTCCAGTTTCATCCATCTCATTAGAACTGATTCAAATGAATTCTTTTTAATGGCTGAGTAATATTCCATGGTGTATATGTACCACAGCTTCCTCATCCATTCGTCTGCTGATGGGCATCTAGGTTGCTTCCATGTCCTGGCTATTATAAACAGTGCTGCGATGAACATTGGGGTGCACGTGTCTCTTTCAGATCTGGTTTCCTCGGTGTGTATGCCCAGAAGTGGGATTGCTGGGTCATATGGCAGTTCTATTTCCAGCTTTTTAAGAAATCTCCACACTGTTTTCCATAGTGGCTGTACTAATTTGCATTCCCACCAACAGTGTAAGAGGGTTCCCTTTTCTCCACACCCTCTCCAGCATTTATTGCTTGTAGACTTTTGGATAGCAGCCATCCTGACTGGCGTGTAATGGTACCTCATTGTGGTTTTGATTTGCATTTCTCTGATAATGAGTGATGTTGAGCATCTTTTCATGTGTTTGTTAGCCATCTGTATGTCTTCCTTGGAGAAATGTCTGTTTAGTTCTTTGGCCCATTTTTTGATTGGGTCATTTATTTTTCTGGAGTTGAGCTGGAGGAGTTGCTTGTATATTTTTGAGATTAATCCTTTGTCTGTTGCTTCGTTTGCTATTATTTTCTCCCAATCTGAGGGCTGTCTTTTCACCTTGCTTATAGTTTCCTTTGTTGTGCAAAAGCTTTTAAGTTTCATTAGGTCCCATTTGTTTATTTTTGCTTTTATTTCTAAAATTCTGGGATGTGGGTCATAGAGGATCCTGCTGTGATTTATGTCGGAGAGTGTTTTGCCTATGTTCTCCTCTAGGAGTTTTATAGTTTCTGGTCTTACATTTAGATCTTTAATCCACTTTGAGTTTATTTTTGTGTATGGTGTTAGAAAGTGTTCTAGTTTCATTCTTTTAGCTTCTTTGACGCCATTGGGTCCACTTGGAACATGAGGGACCTTGGCTGCTGTATTCAGCGTCTTCGTTGCGGCGCGCGGGCTCTAGCTGTCTGGGCTTAGTTCCCTAGCCGGGGACTGAACCTGCTTCCCCTGCATTGCAAGGTGGGTTCTTAATCTCTGGACCCTGAGGGAAATCCCTTGATAATGTTTAAACGTGAATTTGCTTTCCTTGAATACCAGGAGCCCCAAGTGAAGGCAAAACCTTATCTAACCCTGTATGTGAGCATCTTCACTTATATATAATGAGCTAGTTATGAAAAGCCACCTTGAGTCAACATAAAGGAGGACTTTGGTGGGGATGTTCATAAGAAAAACTCACACTGTACAGGACTGTTTAGGACGGGGTCGTAGGAGAACGGATCACCTTTTTCTGACATTCTTCTCTTCAGTGCCTCACATTAGAATGAAAGTATCAAAAGGGATTGGATCTAACCACAGGGGAAAAAGGCTTTCACTCCATATTTTGAGAGATACATTTACTTAGTCAGCTTACACCATATATGTGGATAATTTTGTTTTGTTTTCTTTCATTTAAGAGACATTAATATACATTTTGTATTTGTCAGGTACTTCCCTAAGCAGCTCACAGATGTTAGCCTTTTTAACTTAACAAAGAAGAAACCTAGTAAGTAAGTGTAGACAGTGTTATTGATCTCACCTATAGATAAGGAAACAGAGGCAAAGAGATATTAGCTGATTAGGTCATAGACACATGACTGGTAAACAGTAGGATTACAAACCCTGAGTTACAGCCAGGCTCCCAGATTTGCAGAAACAGCCGAACATGTGACCCAGAAGGAGGGCCCAGAGGTCCAGGAGAGGCTGCCCCAGCTCCCAGAACCGTCTCCCTTCTTTTTTAAAGAGGAAAGGTCCACATTGACAGCTCCAACTTAGCTGTTTCTGTAGAAAAACTATCAAAACACACTTTGCAGTTCCTGGCTGGGCGTGTCAGGACGAGCATTTCACATGCTGGAAGCAGCATTTCAGTGAGCTGCTTCTCACTGGTTCCTGGGGACCCTTCTCTGTGGAGATAACTTTCCAGGTGAGGACTCACCTCGGGGAGAGAGTCACGGCCTGTGACACTCACCTCCTCCCTTGTCTTCCTACGAGAGGGTAGGAAAAATCAAACGCTCTTGTTGGTTTTAGACAGAACGTGCCAAGCTTATTGATAGATACTTATGCCAAAGGGAAGGGAGCCTATTTGATTTGAGAAATAATGCATTGCCTCTACTGTGTATATGATAGATGTACTGTGGGGAAGAAAAGGTTCTTGGAAGGATGAAGCCAGGTTTCCATTCTGAGCAGATGAATAATACGGAGGGGGTTTGGAAGTTGGTGGGTGAGTGGAAAGGTAAGAACATTTGCAGGAAGGATGCTGACCCAGGTAACATTTACCTAACACTCCTATTGTGCCGAGACATGAGGTAAACGTTGTTCTGTTTACTCCTTTAGGAACCATTCTAAAGGAAGTAGCTTGCTCCTTAGGTAAAGGTTAACCAAGAAAGCAAAGCAGTCAGTTCAAAGTCAGAGAGGAAATAATGAGAGGAACATGGACTAGAATGCACGCTAGGTTAACTCTTAGTTAATTCAGGTCCTGGGAAAAAGAAACTAATGTAAAATAGTTTATCCATAATGTTATGGCTATAAAATGGCTTTTTAAGCTTTTTTTTTAGTTGAAATATACCTGCTTTACAATATTGTGTTAATTCCTGCTGTACAATAAAGTGAACCAGCTATCTGTTTACATATATCCCTCCCCTGGGCTTCGCCGGTGGCTCAGACGGTGAAGAATCTGCCTACAATGCAGGAGTCCTGGGTTCAGTCCCTGGGTTGGGAAGATGCCCTGGAGGAGGAAATGGCAACCCAGTCCAGTGTTCCTGCCTGGAGAATTCCTCAGACAGAGGAGCCTGGCGGGCTGCAGTCGTGGGGTTGCAGAGAGTCGGACACTGAGCAGCGCTCGCTCACACGTGAGGTCCCCTCCCTCTTGAGGCTCCCTGCCCCTCATCCCCCCATAAGTCATCACAGAGCCCTGAGCTGAGCTCCCCGTGTTACACAGGCTTCCAGCTGCCATCTCATTTACACACGGTCGTGCATACATGTCAATGCCACCCTCTCAATTTGCATTACATGGCTTTTCACATCTTGTTTTCCCTTCTAAGTTTCTCTCTACCTCCTTACAGTTCTCATATATGTTGCATACTGAATACGTGTAAGCAGAGATTTACATATTATAATCAAGAATTATGTACTGTTTTGTGTTCTACATTTTCTCCTTTGATTTTAGTATTTTCCTGTGCATGTCATAGTTATTAAGCATACTGAGATCATCATTTGTGTAATCTTATCCTAGTGCTAGACATCAAGGATGCGCCTCGGTGTTCCTATTTGATAGTGCTGTTTTATAAAACTGTTCTTTAGAGCTTGTTTTCCTTGTTTAAATTGTTCACCATTTTGCAAATATTTCCACTCAGGATGGCTGGGTCTGAAGTGTTTATTTTGTGCGTGTGTGCAGACTTTGCCCTTTGCCAGAGCTAAAAGCTCATGATGACTGGGCAGTATTCTAGAGCCTCTTCAGTTTTCAGTCTACTCATTAACAGGGCAGCATGTTTGCTGTTGCTGCTGGGGACGGCGCACTTTTCACTGTGTATTTGTGGGCCTGCCTAACAGAACAGTCTCTCATTAAATGGCTTGCCGTATTGTAACCAAGTTACAACCCTAGAAATTTGGCATCAAACTCATTTTGCCTCTTACAGGAGGCTTTCAGACAAAAGGTCACATTTGCCTCCCAGGATGCTGGACTTATACTTGAAGCTGGGAAGGATTGAAGGCAAAAGGAGAAGGGGACAGAGGATGCGATGCTTAGATAGCATCACTGACTCGATGGAGGTGAATCTGAGTGAACTCTAGGAGATGGTGAAGGACAGAGGAGCCTGGTGTGCTGCGGTCCATGGGATCGAAAAGGGTTGGACACGACCCAGTGACTGAACAACAACAAATCCTGAGGCTCTCAGAAGATGAAATAAATGCCTAGAGACATTCTGGTTTCCAACAACTGAGAGTGGAAGTGTTACTATTGACAGCTAGTTGGTAGAGTCCAGTGATGTTATTATACGTTCTATGATGCAGAGAATTGCCTCCCCCAACAAAGACTTATCTGGACTGAAATATAAATAGCGCTAAATTTAGGGAACCCTACTCTAAACTGATTAAGAAATTTTGAAAAAGAACATGAATTGCCAGTATAGGTCCCACAGACATTTAAAGGATGAGAAAATATAGATGACTTTGTGCAATAAATTCTACAACATAGATGAAATGGAAAAAGAAATCCCTCTAATGACCTAAATAAATACCCAGATGTGTCTGTCTCTGCAACCCCATGGGCTGTAGCCCGCCAGGCTCCTCTGTCCATGGGATCCTCCAGGCAAGAACACTGGAGTGGGCTGCCATGCCCTCCTCCAGGGGATCTTCCCAACCCAGGGATTGAACTCGTGTCTCTTGTCTCCAGGCAAGAACACTGGAGTGGGCTGCCATGCCCTCCTCCAGGGGATCTTCCAGACCCAGGAGTCAAACCTGCATTGCAAAGTCTCCTGCCTTGCAGGCAGATTCTTTACTGTCTGAGCCACCAAGGAAGACCCAATTAAATAAATAAAAGCTGCCCCATGATCAGAAAAGCCATATATTTACAAAGGAGGCTGAATTTGTAGTTAAAACATTTCCACAGAGAAATTTAATTGCAAGTAAAAATATTTCCGAGTCCCAGATGGCTTCACTGTTGAAATCAACAAACACTTGATGAAGAAACATCAATTCTCTTAAGAAAACAGGGGAGGAGGAAGCTCTTTCCCAATTTGTATTTTCTGAACATAAATATTAAATCAAAACAGATAAAAACTTTACTAGAAAATAAGAATATAGATCAATATACATCAATCATTTGCAAACATAGGTGCAAAATATCCTTTAAAATAATAGAAAATTCATCCAACAATATATAAAAATAATACCTTATGAATAATTGGGGTTTATCCTGAAAATATACTATTCATTTGGCATTCAAAAATAAATATTTAAAATTCAACATGTCAACAAGAAAAAAATCATATAATTATCCCAATAGATGTATTGGCTGACAAATATCAACATTAATTTATGATTTTTAAAAAACCTCTTAACAAGCAACTTTTTCAACATGACAAAGGCTATTGATGAAAAATTAACAGCTAAGCTTAAGTAAGAAAATAAATACTTTTCCCTAATATCAAGAAGAATGCTCATATAGCACCTCCTATAAAATATTTTCCTGCAAGTTCTAAGTGGTACAATAAGACAAGAAAAGGAATAAAACACATACAGATGGAAGACACAAAATTATTTTCATTTGCAAAAAAAAAAATTTGATCACGTATATAGAAAGTTTTAATTGCAAAAATACACAACTACTAAAGGTAATTGTGGGAAAGATTAGTTTTCATTCCAATGCCAAAGAAGGGCAATGCCAAAGAATTCTCAAACTGCCAAAGATTGTACAATTGCACTCATTTCACATGCTAGCAGGTAATGCTCAAAATCCTTTAAGCCAGGCTTCAGCAGTACATGAACCCAGAGTTTCCAGATGTGCAAGCTGGGTTTAGAAAAGGCAGAGGAACCAGTATCAAACTGCCAACATTGGTAGAATCATAGATAAAGCTAGGAAATTCCAGAAGAACATCCACTTCTGCTTCATTGATTATGCTCAAGTCTTTGATTGTGTGGATCAAAACAAACTGAAAAACACTTAAAGAGATGGGAATACCAGACCACCTTACTTGTCTCCTGAGAAACCGGCGTGGGAGTCAAGAAGCAACAGTTAGAACTAGAAATGGAACAGCCGACTGGTTCAGAATTGGAAAAGGAGTACATCAAGGCTATCTATTGTCATCTTGCTCAATTAACTTCTGTGCACAGTAGATCATGCAAAATGCCAGGCTAGATGAATCACAAGCTGGAATCAAGATTTCTGGGAGAAATATCAATAACCTCAGATAGGCAGATGATATCAATTTAATGGCAGAAAGCAAAGAGAAACTAAAGAGCTGCTGGATGAGGATGAAAGAGGAGAGTGAAAAACCTGGCTTAAAACTCAACATTTAAATGATGAAGATCATGACATCTGGTGCCATCGCTTCATGGCGTGAATAAGGGGAAAAAGTAAAAGTACTGACAGATTTTCTTTTCTCCAAGAAGAAAATCACTGCAGGTGGTGACCACAGCTATGAAATTAAAAGACACTTGCTCCTTAGAAGAAAAGCTATAACAAACTCAGAGAGCATGGTAAAAAAGCAGAGACATTTGTTTGCCAACAAAGGTCCATACAGTCAGAGCTATGGCTTTTCCTGTAGTCCCGTATGGATGTGAGAGTTGGACCATGAAAGAAGGCTGAGCAACGAAGAACTGATGCTTTTGAATTGTGGTGCTGAAAAAGACTCTTGAGAGTCCCTGAGACTGCAAAATCAAACTAGTCAATCCTAAAGAAAATCAACGCTGAATATTCACTGGAAGGACTGATGCTAAAGCTAAAGCTCCAATACTTTGGCCACCTGATGGGAAGAGCTGACTCACTGGAGAAGACCCTGATGCTGGGAAAGATTGAGGGCAGGAGGAGATGGGGACGACAGGATGAGATGGCTGGATGGCATCACCGACTCAATGGACATGGGTTTCGGTAAACTCTGGGAGATAGTGAAGGACAGGGGAGCCTGGCGTGCTGCAGTCCACGTGGTAACAAAGAGTGGGACATGACTTAGCAACTGAACAACAACACTAAAAGTAATCAGTTAACTCAATAAGTTCTCACTACATAAAGACAATATAGAAAAACTGCACTTCTATAAACAAGCAACAAAATTTTTTAAAACTTCAAAATATAACATAATTTACAGCTATATATTTATTTATGTGCTAAGTCACTTTAGTTGTCTCCTACTCTTTGTAACCCTATAGCTTGCCAAGCTTCTCTGTCCGTGGGACTTCCCAGGCAAGAATACCCTCCTCCAGGGGATCTTCCCGACCCAGGAATCTGCCTGGTGTCTCGTAGTTTTCCTGAATTGGCAGGTGGGTTCTTTACCACTAGTACCACCTGAGAAATCTCATATTTATTTGTAATGACATCCGAAGAAGAGAATGAATAGGGATAAGCTTAACAGAAGATAGCCAAAAACTAAAGTACTTTGCTAAAAAATTTGAAGGGGACGACAGGATGAGATGGCTGGATGGCATCACCGACTCAATGGACATGGGTTTCGGTAAACCCTGGGAGATGGTGAAGGACAGGGGAGCCTGGCGTGCTGCAGTCTACGTGGTAACAAAGAGTGGGACATGACTTAGCAACTGAACAACAACACTAAAAGTAATCAGTTAACTCAGTAAGTTCTCACTACATAAAGACAATATAGAAAAACTGCACTTCTATAAACAAGCAACAAAATTTTTTAAAACTTCAAAATATAACATAAGTTACAGCTATATATTTATTTATGTGCTAAGTCACTTTAGTTGTCTCCCACTCTTTGTAACCCTATAGCTTGCCAAGCTTCTCTGTCCGTGGGACTTCCCAGGCAAGAATACCCTCCTCCAGGGGATCTTCCCGACCCAGGGATCTGCCTGGTGTCTCTTAGTTTTCCTGAATTGGCAGGTGGGTTCTTTACCACTAGTACCACCTGAGAAATCTCATATTTATTTGTAATGACATCCGAAGAAGAGAATGAATAGGGATAAGCTTAACAGAAGATAGCCAAAAACTAAAGTACTTTGCTAAAAAATTTTAAGAAGACCTAAAATAATGGAGAGATACATCACATTCATAGACTAAAATATTCAATATTTTTCAGATATTACTTCTTATACAACTAAGCTACACATTCACTGCAATCTCAACATAAATGTCAGAAAGATTTTAATAAAAATTCACAAGATTATTACAAAATTTAAATAGAAATGCAAAAAACCTAAGCAAAAAGCATCTAAAAGGTTGGTGGACTCACACTATCAGATTTGAAGACTTACTATAAAGCCACATTATACTCAAAAACAGTAGTAAAAAAAAAAATCATAAGAATAGATATATAGGTCAACTAAACTAACAGAAACTTGAAAGTTGCACCCATACATATAAACTCAATTGCTTTTCAACAATTACATCAAAGCAACTCAACAGAGAAAGGAAAGTCCTTTCAATAACTAGTAATTAAATAACTGCTTTCTATTTCAGGAGATAGCTAAAGACAGGGAAGCCTGGTGTGCTGCAGTCCATAGGTTTGCAAAGAGTTGGCACATGACTTAGCAACTGATCAACAACAACAAATCTACCCTAGGGAAAAGAATATCAACTCTTACATGACACCACCTACAAAAAGTTAACTTGAAATTTCCGTAGACCCAAATATAGGAACTAAACCTATAAGATTTCTGAAAGAAAATATAAGGAGAAATTTTTGTGATTGTAGAACAGCAAGACATGGAATCAATCTAAATATCTTTCCTTTTGCCAAGGCAGTTATTCTTGGCAAATTTATCTTCCCTGTTACCTTCTGAAACTCAGGTAAAGGTATGTGAATCTTTTCCTATTGGTTCAGCATCTTCTCATTCCTGGCTATTTCTTGGTCCTCACTAGGCTAAGGTACCTGCCAAGATGCTCCACTTACAAGGCCTACAGAAACTGCAGATGCTAGAAAAATCCTTGAGGAAGAGCATCCCTGAGTCCTTAAAGGTGAGCATGGGACGTCCTCAGGGAAGCACGGGGCTGCATTCTTAGGGAACCAAAGAGGCAGTAAGAGAATGAGCTCGTACCGAGTGCTTGTTCTGTGGTGAGAACTCACTCACACCACATCTCACGCAGTTCACACCATCTCTTGGCAAGGGAAGTATATTATACTCATGTCCCGGAAGAGGGAAGAGTTCTCTGTTGTCCAATAATTTTAAGTTACAAAAACACTATCCTCTGAAGACTCAAAAAAACATTTCCTTGATTTCTCTTTCAAAGGTTGATCTAAGTACATACTAATTTTTAAAGATTTGCGCCTGAGGTGAAGTTAACCACTGTGTATCTTCTTGGAACATTTAACAGATCAAATCTTATTTCTTTGAAATCCAAGTGTGCATGGAAGAGATCTAGAGAATTATCTACTATTCATTACTTTAAGGCAATGATATTTACTACAGAACGGCTGGATTTATGCAGATTTATTTCTATTTTCATTTTTAACATTCAGAGGATTGATGAAAGGAGGAAAATGCTTTTCCTTTCATTTTTGCTTCTTCTTTTTTGTCTGCGTGACTTGTCAGATCTCAGTTCCCTGACCAGGGAACGAATCCAGGTCCTCGACAGAGAAAGCGTGAGTTCTGACTGTGGACCACCGGGGGCTTCCCTGAACTGCTTTATAAAAGCTCCTTTCACATCCAGAGACAGACGCCTAATCACAGAACCGCGGCCAGCACCAGCAGGCCTCGAGGCGGGACAGTGGCAGCGTGGCTGTCAGCGGCGACGGAACGCAGCCTTCACGTCACCTCACTGCTGGACTTGATCTGTGGACGCATGTCAGCCTCAAAACTCCCGCAGGAGGAGGGGTCACTGCTCTCCCTATGTTGTGGGAGATGCATCTGAGGCCAGGAAAACTTAGTAACTTGCCCACCTGGTTACTCCTGGGGCCAGAAATATAACCCATTTATTCTGTTTCAACTCTCCAGAGCCTACCTGCGTGTTTTGAGCAAAACAGCCCCTCAACTTCAGATCCTGTTAAGAGAACAAACTGGATCTCTCATACATCACTGCTGGGAATGTGAGATGGTACAGCCCCTCTTAAAAGGCCATTTGTAAGTGTCTAACTAATCGTGCAACCAGCGCTCAACCAGCGATGACAATCTTGAGCATTTGCCCTAGAGAAATGCAAGTTTATGTTCACACAAAACTATGTGCCCTAATGTCTATAACAACCTTATCCATGATAGTCAAAAGCTGGAAACAACTCACATGCCCTCCCGTAGTTGAGTGGCTAAATGAACTGTGGTACATCTATACTATGGGATACTACTAAATGATAAAGAAGAAATGACCTAGGGATACCTGCAACGATTTGGATGAATCCTCAGAAAATTATGCTGAGTGAAAGAAGCCAGACCCAAAGGGTTCCACACTATTTAAGTCCATTTATATCAAGTCTTTGGAACAACCAAGTACAGAAACAGAACACACTGATGGTTGCTGGAGGTGGAAGAGGAGGTGGGCAATGGGAAGGTCGTGGGTGTGACCGTCACAGAGTCTCAGGAGCCATGCTCATGATAAGCGAGGTATTCTGCATCTGGACTGTATCAGTGTCAAAAGCCTGCTGTGGTGTTGTTCCCAAGGTCCAGCAGGTCTCTGGGCTTCACCAAGCTCACACGGTCGGCAGCCAGGATTTTCCTCTGGGCAGGTGAACACCTGAAGCCAAGTCCTAACCGTTATGCTCGTCTACTTAGCACCGCGCCTTGGACTTTGGTCAGTGAAACATACGTTTCCGTTTCTATCTCACAGTTTTGTCTAGAATACGCTCCGCCATCCCGCCTTGGGAGTTACTGTGATGACAGTGACTTCTCGGTTCCACGGCTAAAAGGACAGCCTGCCTGCGTCCGTACCTGCCCCTTCCACCAACAAGCTGTCTGCCCCCACGTCACTTACCTTACAGGCCTTGGTTTCCTCACACAGAACGGGAGCCGTGAGGGGATGTCCCGGTGGCCCCAGGGCTTAGGACTCGGTACTTTCATTGCCTAGGGCCCGGGTTCGAACCGTGGATGCCTGACGTTGAAGCAAAGATCCCACAGGCTACGTGGCCACAATAAAAGAGGAGGGGAGTAACAGGACCCCAGCCTCTCGGGGCTGTTGTCAGATGAGAAGACTTTCTGGGGAACAGGCAGAGCTGTGCCTTGCACACAGAGAAGCGATGCCAATATTAGCCACTGTGGGCACAGAGCAGACCATAAATTTACGGTGGGGAGAATTGTGGCTGCATTGGTTTATCTCATCTGAGGCTGATACTTTGAAAGACTTGGCATAATTTGGGATGAGTTGAGTATCTTCACCTTCCTCAATCTTAACCATTTGTAAACCATCCTTTTACTCTGGGGTAAGCATTCTTCTATAGGTAGCCTGACTGGTTTTGTTTATATGTACTGTAAAGGGACCAAAGAGATAATTCTCCGCCTTTAGTTACTATAGCATCCACTTATTTGTAGGAAATAGTTACCTTTACCAGAGGTTAATTTGAAAATATGTGTTAAAAAAAACCTTAAACATGTAGATAATATAAACCCAGCAATCTCCCTTCTAAAACCTTCCCTAAGCAAATATCAGGTACAAATGCAAAGATTTCAGCAAGATACTCTCTGAAGAGTACTTTTTTACGTCAAAAAGTTGGAAACACCTGGAGTGGAGTGTATCTGACATTCTCCAGTTTGGGGAGATTTGTTGTGTGTGCCTGGAGAATCTCATGGACAGAGGAACCTGGTGGGCTACAGTTCACGGGGTCACAAGAGTCAGACATGACTGAAGGGACTTAGCACGTACACACATACATGAACAGATGAAGATCTATGAAAGATCTTATTAAATTCTATAATGGGAGAGTTCATGATTTTTGTCCATAAGTTTTGTTGGTTTGAATATCTTTTATGTGAATATTTTTAAAAGATATACTTATTGGGGGAAAACTTAGAATCTCACCAATGGTCTGCTGAAGTTCTCACTAGGTACCTTCCAGTGAAAAAATTCCATTATTTCATAAAAATAAATCTTGCCCTATGCAAACACGGCACTTTGCCATCTCTTCCTAATAAGATCATCCTCTCACTTTCTTGTAATACTGCAGGTTTATGGGACCATCTTCCACATAAACCAGGGAAACCCTTTCAAGCTAAAGGCTCTGGTAGACAAGTGGCCTGATTTTAATACTGTGGTTATCCGCCCTCAGGAGCAGGTAAGCGGCCAGATGTGGAATGAATATGTATTTGTGTTCATATTCGCTGTGTACTTACTATGCATTTGGCAATATGGTAGACCCTGGGAATACAGAAATAAATCAAGGTGATATAGTCAACAAGTCCATGTGGACTTCAAAAAGTCCACAGCCTGGAGGAGATTATGGGTAAATCCAAAGGTAAATGACAGCATGGTGTGAAATGTTTACTTGCTCAGTCGTGTCCGACTCTTTGCGACCTTGTGGACTGTAGCCCGCCAGGCTTCTCTGTCCATGGAATTCTCCAGGCAAGAATAATGAAGTGGGCTGACATTCCCTTCTCCAGGGGATATTCCCAACCCAGGGATCTAACCCATGTTTCCTGCATTGCAGGCTGATTCTTTACTGTCTGAACCACTAAGGCCCCGTGGTGCGAAATGGGCAGAATCAAAACACAAACGGCATCCTGTCCCGCTTACACCAAACACTTGGTCATTCCTCGCATCCAGTTTGTGGGAATAGAGGAAACCAGTGGGAGGCTGTGCGAATGTAGGATTGTGCTGATGGCTTAGACAAGAGCTTCCTCTTTTGTGAAAGGCGTCAAAAGAGCATTTCCCAGGCTGGATTTCTACATGTAATAAATCAAGCCCATTTTAAACTCTTAACCTAAGGGGAAAAATATCTCATACCTTGTAAAAACACCCATTCTGAAACCACACCAGCTCATGTATACTAACTCAAAGCGTCTCACTGTGATGGTCTCTTCCCGCTGAGAGGCTGCACCATGTTATAACCTATGGACATCAATTAAGCAAATAAAACCAGGCAGGGGAAAAAAAGCATGTGGCAGAGGCTGCTGGGAGAGGAATGATTCTTAGTAGAAATTTTGCCAAAACTGGATGTTGGATGTAAATAGGAGTTTTTACATGGTGGCAGAGCAGGACTTCATTCAAAGCAGTTTCAAGAGATAAAGTCTGAAACAAGAGAGTGAATTAAGGAAAATTAAGGGGTAAATTACATAGTTGGAACTGTTGGTTACATATTGTATGCTTATTTTTTAATTAGTGAAACGGAATAGTTACGTTTATTTAATAGTTAAGTTTATTCAAAAATAAAGTGTATAATTATATTTTTAAGTATCAAGTAAAATTTTAATGTAAATATATTATCATTTAATATAACATATAGAAGTGAAATGGGTAAGAAATATTCAAGAAAACCAAATTAAATGACAATTTAAAATGAAGACTTTTAATCACTGATAGAAATCTGAGCTACTTTCAAAAATACAGTCTTAAAAATAAGACTTTTCTAACTTGAAGAGCGATCATTGACATATAAGATTGTGTCAGATCTACAACATTGCAGATTTGATATACATGTACAGTACAAAGATTCCCTCCATAACTTTAGCTAACCTTCCATCCTGTCTCATAATTACCATTCTAGTTTTTAGTGAAAACATTCAAAATCTGCTCTCTCAGCAACCTTCAAGTATAGTTAACCCTTGAACAACATGGGTTGGAACTGCGCAAGTCCACTTAAATTTTTTTTTCCCCGATAATTACATGCTACAGTACTCCACCATCTGATGATGTTTGACTCTGTGGATGCAGAATAGCAGATACAAAGGGTGACTGTTAAGTTATATGCAGATTTTCAGCTGTGGGGAGAGTTGGGGTCCCTAACTCCTGCATTGTACAATGCTCAACTGCATATAAAACAGCACTAACTATAGTCCTCATGCTGTGCCTGTGATCCTCAGAACTTATTTATCTTACAACTGGAAGTTTGTGCCCTTTGACCAACATCTCCCCACTGCCCCTTCCCGGGCGTCTCCAGTCTCTAGGAACTGCCGTTCAACTCTGTTTCTGTGATGTGGTGTTTTAAAATCCCACACGTAAAAGACACCATTCAGCACTTGTCTCTCTCTGTCTGCCTTACTTCATTTAGCACAATGCGTACACGGTCTACCCACATGTCACAAATGGCAGGATTTGCTTCTTTCTCCGGAATGACTGATATTCCATTGTACAGACATGCCACATTTCCTCTAACCATTCATTTGTTGTTTCCACGTCTTGGCTGTTGTGAATAATGCTGCGTTGAACAAGGAGCACAGGTATCTATTCCAGATCCTGTTTTCATTGCCTTTGGGTGTACACCCAGAACGAGACTCCCAATTCCTATGACAGTTCTGTTTTAAATCTGGGGGAAAACCACCATACCACTTCTACGGTCGCGATACCAGTTTACATTCCCAACAGTGCACAAATGCTCCTTTGTCTCCAAACCTCCCCCCAAGCTTGTTACCTCTTGTCTTTTTGACGATACCCATTCTGCTCTGTATGTGGCCTTGATTTGCATTTACCTGATAATTAGTGATATAAAGCACTTTTTCATTTATCTGTTGGTCATTTGTATATCTTCTTTGGAAAAATGTCTATTCAATTCCTCTGCCTATTTTAAGAGGATTATTTGGAACTGTTCTGAGAACTGTTCCCATTTTGACATTTCTTATAAGGCAAGCCTTTTAGTGATGAATTTCTTCAGTTTTTATTTGTTAGTAAGTCTGTCTTGTCTCTGAAGAACAAATTTGACTGGCTTAAAGTATTTTTGGTTGACAGTTTCTTTCTTTCCACACTTTAAATATATTGCCATATTTTCTCCTGGCTTGCAAGGTCTCTGAGAAATCGACTGATAACCACCTTAAGGGTTTTCGACAATATTATTCTAATGTATCTAAGTGAGGTCCTCTCTTAAGTTTTTTGGTGACCTATTAGCTTCTTAAACTTGTATATCGGAATTTCTTCCAATAACTGGGAAGTTCTTAGCCATTATTTCTTTAAACTTTCTTCCCCCTTTCCCTCTCTTCTACTTCTGGAAATTTAATAAATTCACAAATTGGTTCTTTGAGGTATCCCACAGATTAGGGGTTTCATGAGATTGATTTAGGTGTATTCAAGGCATATGGGCTTCCCTGTGGCTCACAGGGTACAGAATCTTCCTGCGATGGGGGAGACTCGAGTTCCATCCCCCGGAGAAGGGAACGGCTACCCAGTGCAGTATTCTTGCCTGGGAAATCTCACGGACAGGAGCCTGGCTGCCGTCCACGGGGTCACAGAGAGTCAGGCATGACGGAGTGACTTTCTGGGGCTCTCCAGGGCGTGCTGTGACCCCAGGCCTAGTGGTGTAGGGCGCGGAGTGCAGGGGCGCCTGGCGGCACTGGTCTTCAGGGCTAGGGGGTGAGGTGTTTTCCACCCAGGCTGCCGGGATCCACACTGACAACTGTGTGACCCTTGGCGAGCATTTCAGGGGGGTCGACAGTGGCTTCAAGGCTTTGGGGTCCTCAGTGACGCCTCCAGGTCCAGTGGCCAGGGGCCAGGGCAGGCGGAAGTAGAGGCTGCCGTTGGCGGGGTGTTCAGACACAGCTGTGGGGGCCAGCTGCAGGCTCTGTGTGGCGGCTGGCCGCGTGCAAACAGGCACACGAGGCGGGGCCAGGACCCACCGCGGGCGCGCGGGCGCCATGGGGGCCTCGCTGCTGGCACTCAGCGCATGTCCACGGGGCCTTGCTGTGAGGGCGCAGCGATTGGAGACCGGGGACGGGGGCTCGGCTGGGGCGTGCCGGCGGGCAGCTGGGGGTCGGCGGCAGGTCAGGGCCGGGGCGCAGGCCCGATCCAGGCCCACAGACAGCTGTGGGGACCCTGGCTCTGGGTGGGTTCTCTCGTGGCTGCGCGGTCTGTCTCTCACTGGGCAAAGGGCAGTGCCAGCCGGTGGCAGTCACCTGCGGAGTGGCGCGCAAGTACGCAGCTGGGGGGCCAGCCCACGCGTGCTCGGTGGTGGGTGTCGGCTTGTATTCACGCAGCTGCAGCGCTGACCGCGGGGTCAGCGATCCGGTTCCGGTGGCAGCTGGTCAGGGAGGGCGTGGGAAGGGTCTCCGGTGGCTGGCACAGAGCACGTGAATCCTGGTGGGGCGAAACTTGATGATATCTGCGGGTGGTCCAATGCTGATTGTTGATTTCTGCAGGGGCAAAAACTGCTGGGTGTTCCTGCAGAGCAGGTCAGGGTGAACTGTTCTCAGCGCATGTCCACGGGGCCTTGCTGTGAGGGCGCAGCGACTGGAGACCGGGGACGGGGGCTCGGCTGGGGCGTGCCGGCGGGCAGCTGGGGGTCGGCGGCAGGTCAGGGCCGGGGCGCAGGCCCGATCCAGGCCCACAGACAGCTGTGGGGACCCTGGCTCTGGGTGGGTTCTCTCGTGGCTGCGCGGTCTGTCTCTCACTGGGCAAAGGGCAGTGCCAGCCGGTGGCAGTCACCTGCGGAGTGGCGCGCAAGTACGCAGCTGGGGGGCCAGCCCACGCGTGCTCGGTGGTGGGTGTCGGCTTGTATTCACGCAGCTGCAGCGCTGACCGCGGGGTCAGCGATCCGGTTCCGGTGGCAGCTGGTCAGGGAGGGCGTGGGAAGGGTCTCCGGTGGCTGGCACAGAGCACGTGAATCCTGGTGGGGCGAAACTTGATGATATCTGCGGGTGGTCCAATGCTGATTGTTGATTTCTGCAGGGGCAAAAACTGCTGGGTGTTCCTGCAGAGCAGGTCAGGGTGAACTGTGAATCACCCCATTACACGGCTGCTACTGGGAGCCCTTGCGTTTCGTTGTTTCTAACCACCTCCGTATATCTCAGTTTTGCCAGTGTGGGTGGGATGAAACCAGCCTGGGACCTTGGCGTGGTGCCCTAGAAGGCTAGGGAAGCTGCTCCTTCACCCCGTGCTCCCTCTCTTGGTGAGGGAGAGAGGCTTTCTAGCTGGCGAGTTCCCTCTTGGCGCTGAGCAATGCTGGCTTGGTGAATGGGGTGATGCAGGTGAAATTGGACTGTCTTTGTTCTCTTTGGGGGCAGCTAGTCTCAATTTTTTTTTTTTTTTTAATTCTCCTGTGTTGCTGGACTTCAGGGCTCTCGCATAGCTTTTTTGTGTGTGGGGGGGTAGCAGGCACAATTGATCTAATTATTGATCTATCTAATTATTGATCTTTGTGAGGGACAGAGGCTGGAGTCTCCTATACTGACATTTCTGGTAGCATTACTCTTAAAAATAAAGTTTGATCAGAAGTAACCCTTGCTGAATAGGAAGTGCAGTTGTGTAGCGTATTTTCCAGTTATAGGGAAGAAAGCTTTCTGATTCTGCACTAGGTGCAGAATCTTATCTGTTCCTTTATCCTCCTGTGTCAGTTTTAATAATTTCACTAGTTATACTTAAATGAGTATGCTTGTTTACTGACGGGATTGTTGTTGGTTTAACAATAGCATGATTTTTGTTTTTTGGCTGTTCTGTGCAGCATGTGGGGTCTTAGTTCCCCAACCAGAGATGGAACACATGCCCCTCATCCCGCTCATGCCTCCTGCAGTGGAAGCATGGAGTCTTCACCAGGCCACCACAGAAGCCCTTGAGTATTTTTGAAAGAAAGCAGATCGATTTCATCCTCTTTTTCTCGGTTTCACAATGTACAGAAGAGTTGTCTGACCTGATGCCTGTATCTGTTTCAATAAAGACATGTTCATCGTCCACATAATCTAAACATCTTTGCCCTAAAGCAGGATTTATTCTTTTGGCCAAATATTTCACTTCTCAGTTGTCACTTTACTGAGCTGGTAGGACTAGGTAAGTCTCAGTCCCAAGTCTGGCCGCAGGTGCTAGCTGGGTTTTTGCTGTTTATTGACCACACTAAACGCAAGTGGATTGGGCAACACACGGAAGCTTCAGGGTTCTCAAGAGCAGCAGGAGACAGCAAGATTCAGTGCTCAGTCACTTTTCAAGATTCTTCATGTGTTTCTTGGAGGGGTGGAAAGTAATTTTAAATAGATTATTTTTGTTACTTTTGAAAATTTAAAGCAATAACTGAGTTGGAAGTAGTTTTGTTCAAGACATTTTTCATTATTTGAATAAGGGAGTCCTTGACTTGATCTCATAATGTAAATAGCCCTTCAATAAAATCAATACAACAAAAAATGCCAATATTTTAGTATTTTTAAAATATCATAATACAACAGAACACTGAGAAGTAGCATGGCAATCACTAAATAGATGCGTTTTGGTTGATTCTCCTTTCCTGACCCAAACAGGAGATGACAGACGACCTTGATCACTACACCAATACTTATCAAGTCTACTCCAAGGACCCTAAGAAGTGTTACGAATTCCTTGGCTCACCAGAAGTCATCAACTGGAAGCAACATCTTTTTAGTATTTTTAAAATATCATAACACAACAGAACACTGAGAAGTAGCATGGCAATCACTAAATAGATACGTTTTGGTTGATTCTCCTTTCCTGACCCAAACAGGAGATGACAGACGACCTTGATCACTACACCAATACTTATCAAGTCTACTCCAAGGACCCTAAGAAGTGTCACGAATTCCTTGGCTCACCAGAAGTCATCAACTGGAAGCAACATCTGCAGATTCAAAGTAAGGGGCTAGGATGTGGGCTGGCTGCCAGACTCTCCACGTCGGATCTGCAGGGTCCCTTTACATCTGGAATAACACCCCTGTATCCTCTATAACAGGGTTCCTGGGTGGTTCAGAAGGTAAAGAATCTGCTTGCAATGCAGGAGACCTGGGTTTGATCCCTGGCTCGGGAAGATCCCCTGGAGAAGGGAATGGCAACCCACTCCAGTGTTCTTCCTGGACAATTCCAGGGACAGAGGAGTCTGGTGGGCTGCAGTCCATGGGGTCGCAAGAGTCTGACACGACTGAGTGACTAACACTCACACACACACACACACACACACACACACACACGCCCCTTCTAGATCTCTATTGCAATCCCAGACATTCAGCCGGCTGTCCATTCTCTCTCAGCTGCCATCAGCACCTCCAGAGCTGCCAGTTCACAAGGCTCTTGGGTAGCTTCCCAGGTGGAGTCTGAAAGCCACCCCCCTATGAACGCACGGCAGGGAGAGGCTGAGAAAGGGGCAGGCCACTCCAGACTGCTGGGTGGCAAGTTTACTAAGCAGGAGAACTTCCTTCCAGGCTTGTCTTGGGAGACTGCAGGACGAGGGAATCCCTGCATCTGCCTGCCAAAATCTTAAAAACATATACAGTGGTCTTATCTGGGTTTAGTCACGTGTCCAGTCCAGATGTGTGAACACCACATTCCTATCTCAAGGCTGTGTCCTTGGAGCAGCTTCTGGAAGGCAAGTGGAACACTCATTTCAAGGACAGGAGAGGGAGGGGGAAGCCTCCAGTTGCCTCCCCAGTCAACAGGCAACATGTCTTTCTGATGACCTCCTTCAACAATAGTGAATTAAAACTTAAAGACTGCCATGTATGGGGTTTACACAGAGAATCATGAGCAATAGAGTTTCTTAATAGTTAAAATTCACAGCTACCTGATTCGACTCATTGGAATTAAGACCTGATGCTGGGAAAGACTGAAGGCAAAAGGAGAAGACAGTGGCAGAGGATGAGATGGTTAGAAAGCGCCACCAACTCAGTGGACATGGATTTGAGTAAACTCTGGGAGATAGTGGGGGACAGAGGAGCCTGGCGTGCTGCAGTCCATGGGTCATAAAGAGGCAGACACGACTTAGCGACTGAACAACAACAAAAATTCCTGGTTTATTCCAGGATCGATGATACGGGAGCAGAGCTTCCATTCTGCCTCGCCTCCACGGTGTCAATATATCATGCTTACAGAGGAGAAATTTAGTGACTACAAATATGCTTGGGAATTCCCTGGCAGTCAGTGGTTAGGACTCTATGCCCTCACTGCCAGGGACCCAGGTTTGATCCCTGGTGAGGGAATTAAGATCCCACAAGCCTTACAGTGTATCCAAAAAAAAAAAAAAAGTCTGTTCTCTGAAGTCAGACTACCTGAAGTTGTGACCTTATTAGGCCTGTTAGTAGTTGTGTGGTCTAAGACAAGGAATAAGATCTCTGTTGATCAGCCTTCTGATGAGTAAAAATAGCAATTATAATAGTACCCAAAACATTAGGCTATTTAAAGATTAAGTGAGACCTTGAATGAGAAATGCTTGGCCCTACGCCTGGTTTTATCAGTCAGGTTATGAAACCACCCCAAAATAGTGACTGCAAAACACAATCGTTTATTAGCTCCAATTTTGTGGGTCAGCACTTTGTACGAGACGCAGCTGGATGATTCTTCCACTGGTCTGTCCTGGATTCACCCATGTGACTTCAGTCAGCTGGGGGTTGTCCATAAACTGGCAGGACTAAGTTAGCCACCATCTAGAGGCTGGCTGTCAACGCTGCCTTCGTCTGTTCTGGCTCCTGGCTGTGCTGATGAAGTGGCTTGGGTGATATACAGATGTCACCCAAGGTTCTTAAGAGCAGAGACAAAAGGCAAACTTCATATATAGTCACTTTTCAAGCTTCTTACTCATTCACATTTGCTATTGCTCCATTGGCCAAAGCAAGTTCCACGGTCAATCCTGGAAGGCAGTTCAGGAGAAAAAAGTCTGGATAGCGAAGAAGAAAAAACTGGGACCATGATAGCAACAACCTATAGCATAGAATGTTAAATAAATTCAGTGAATGTTGATTATCATCTTCACCGCATCTCCTGATGAGCATACCTGTCCTGTGCTGTGTTCAGGAATCGCGGTGCTGTCCCGAGTTTGATGTTTTAAGCTGGAGTTTAGTTGGTTGCACGGCGGTGTCAGGCTCTGTGGCACAGCAAAGTGAATCGGCCACGTGCACGCACACGTATCGCCCCTGCTTTGGATTTCCTTTCCGTGTAGATCACCACGGGGCACTGAGTAGTTTCCAGTGCTCTATGGTAGGCTCTCGTTGGTCATCTATTGTAAATAGTGGACAAAATGGCAATCCCAGTCTCCCAACCCCATCCTCCACTCTGACCCTTGGAATNAGGAGAAGGGACGACAGAGGATGAGATGGTTGGATGGCATCACCGACTCAATGGACATGAGTTTGAGTAAACTCCGGGAGTTGGTGATGGTTAGGGAGGCCTGGTGTGCTGCAGTCCATGGGGTCACAAAGAGTCAGACACGACTGAGCGACTGAACTGAACTGAACATTTTAATCTCCTGTTGTTTTTTTACAACATAATACCTATTTATATTTTCAGAATTGGATTAGAAGTTTCAAGCCTCATTAATTTTTTTTAATGTCACAAAATAATAAGCTCTCTAGATTTTTTTTTGCAATAATACTAGATGCCAGAATATATGAAACTATATCAAAGTTTTAAGTGTATATAAATTAGAAATCTAACAGTCTATTCATGCTTAGTCAAACAAAAGGAACCAAAAATGTCAAATATTTAGCTAAGCAAAATTTCATGTTTTCTAAAAAAATATACATTATGCTCAATATATATATGTATATATATAGTATGTGAAAGCTCTTCTACTGCACTGGGTAAAGGCTAGAGAAAGAACAACAAAAAAAGAGATGGAGAAATTGGAAAACAAGCTAAATGCAATGGGAGCCCTGAACATGAAATAGAAAAAAGTGAAACAAACTAGATAAAAGTAAAACATATAGTCCAGTTGTTTTTAAACATGGCTGCTCATTAAAATCACATCTGGAACTTTGGGCAGATTTGTGTTGTCCAAGAAAATTCAAGATAATTCTAATATGCATCCGGATTTTAAAAAGTAATGACAAGTTTTTCTATTAAGTTTTAGTGATATAGAAATCTGTTATTTTCTATTGACTGATCATGATGCAATGGTATTAAAATGAATACCAGCTACATAATCACAGTAGTAAAAGATGTTTATCAGTTTTCACAAGTAATAACCAGACTAAAAATATAATTACAATTGCAAGCCATAATGGATGAATGATTAAGCTACTAGTATAGAATAATGACATACCATTTGGGGGAGTTAAGTGGAGTGATGTGGTAAGTGGAAGTGAATACATGCACATGTTTGCATCCATCTAGCCAGTCTATGTCTTTTTGTTGTTGCATTTAATCCGTTTACATTTAAGGTGATTATTGATATGTAGGATCCTATTGTCATTTTCTTAATTGTTTAGATCTCTTCCTTCTCCTGGGCTTCCTGCCTAGAGAAGTTCCTCTAGCATTTGCTGTGAAGGTAGTGCTTTGGTGGTGCTGAATTCTCTTAACGTTTGCTTGTCTGGAAAGTTTCTGATTTCTTTGTCAAATCTGAATGGGAGTCTTGTTAGGTAGCATATTCTCGGTTGTAGGTTATTCCTATTCACCAACTTAAATGTATCATGCCATTCCCTTCTGGCTTACAGAGTTTCTGTTGAGAAATCAGCTGATAACTTTATGGGAGTTCCCTTGTATGTTATTTGCCATTTTTTCCCCTTGTTGCTTTTAATATTTTATCTTTGTAATTTTTGTCAGTTTGATTACTGTGTATGTCAGCATGTTCCTCCTTCAGTTTAGCCTACCTGGGAGTCTGTGCTTCCTGGACTTGGTTGACTGTTCCTTTTCCCATATTAGAGGAGTTTTCAGCTATTATCTCTTCAAATATTTTCTCAGGTCTTTTATCTCTCTCTCTCTTCTCCTTCTAGGATCTCTATAATGCAAATGTTGGTGTGTTTAATGTTGTCCCAGAGGACTCAGGCTATCTTATTTATTTATTTTTCATTCTTTTTCTGTATTCTATTTTATAGCAGTGACTTCCACCATTCTGTCTGCCAAGTCACTGACCTGTTCTCCTGCCTCAGTTATTCTGCTATTGATTCCTCCCAGTGTACTGTTCATCTCTGTGCTTTAGTTCTTCTAGGTCTTTTGTAAACACTTCCCATCCCTTTCCCAAGAACCTGGGTCATCTGCACTATCATTATTTTGAATTATTTTTCTGCAAGGCTGCCTATCTCCACTTCATTTAGTTATTTTCCTGGGGTTTTATTTTGTTCTTTCACCTGAGAGATAATCCTCTCCCTTTTCATTCTGATTGACTTTCTGTGATTGTGGTTTTGTTCTGGAGGCTGCAGGACTGACTTATCACTTCTTCTACATGCCCTCTGGTGGATGAGGCTGATGGGAGGGACTGGTGGTGGAAAAAACTAGATCTTCTGGCTCCCAGTGAAAGTTCGGTCTGACTATCAGCTGATGGGTGGGGCTGTGCTTCCCCCCTATTAGTTGCTTAGCCTGGGGTGAGCCAGTCCTGGAGTCTACAGGCTCCTGTTGCTGTTCAACCATTAAGAGGTGTCCAACTCTTTGCTACCCCATGGACTACAGCACCCCAGACTCCCCATTCTTCACTGTCTCCCAGAGTTTGGTTAAATTCATGTCCGAGTGATGCCATCCAAATATCTCATCCTCTGTCGACCCCTTCCGCTCCTGCCCTCAATCTTTCCCAGTATCAGGGTATTTTCCAATGAGTTGGCTCTTAACATCAAGTGGCCAAAGTATTGGAGCTTCAGCTTCAGCGTCAGTCCTTCCAATGAATAGTCAGGACTGATGTCCTTTAGAATTGACTGCTTTGATCTCCTTGTTGTCCAAGGGACTATCAAGAGTCATTTCCAGCACCTAGTTCAAAAGCATCAATTCTTCAACACTCAGCCTTCTTTATGGTCTAATTCTCACATGTGTACATGACTACTGGAAAAACCACAGCTTTGATTATGTGGATCTTTGTTGGCAAAGTGATGTCTTTGCTTTTTAATATGCTGATAATTTCTTTTTAATATGCTAGGCTGATCATAACTTTTCTTCCAAGGAGCAAGCATCTTTTAATTTCACGGCTGCAGTCACCATCTGCAGTGACTTTGGAGCCTAAGAAAACGAATTCAGTCACTTTCTACTTTTCCCCCATCTGTTTGCCATGAAGTGATGGGGCCAGCTGCCATAATCTTAGTTTTTTTAAAGTTGAGTTTTAACCCAGATTTTACTCTCCTCTTTCACGTTCATCAAGAGGCTCTTTAGTTTCTCTTCACTTTCTGCCATTAAGGGGTGTCATCTGTATATCTGAAGTTGTTGATATTTCTCCTGTCACTCTTGATTCCAGCTTGTGCTTCATCCAGCCTGGCATTCGACATGATGTACTCTGCATGTAAGTTAAATAAGCAGGATGAATATACAATCTTGACATACTCCTTTCCTCACTTTGAACCAGTCTGTTGTTCCATGTTTGGTTCTAACTGTCCCTTCTTGACCTGCATACAGATTTCTCAGGAGGCAGGTAAGGTGGTCTGGTACTCAGAACTCCTTAAGAATTTTCCAATTTGTTGTGATCCACACAGTCAATGGCTTTAGTGTAGTCAATGAAGCAGATGTAGATGTTTTTCTGGAATTCTCTTGCTTTTTCTATGATCCAACAGATGTTGACAATTTGATTTCTGGTTTCTCCGCCTTTCTAAATCCAGATTGTACATCTGGAAGTTCTCGGTTCATGTACTGTTGGAGCCTAGCTTGAAGAATTTTGAGCATTACCTTGCTAGCTTGTGAGATGAGTGCAATTGTGCAGTAGTTTGAACATTCTTTGGCATTGTCTTTTTTTGGGATTGGAATGAAAACTGACCTTTTCCAGTCTTGTGGCCACTGCTGAGTTTTCCAGATTTGCTGGCATATTGAGTGCAGCACTTTCACAGCATAATCTTTTAGGATATTAAATAACTCAGATGGAATTCCATCACTTCTGCTTGCTTTGTTCATAGTAATGTNTGTCTTGCTTTTGCTGACTGTATAGAGCTTCTCCATCTTTGGCTGCAAAGAATATAATCAATCTGATTTCAGTGTTGGCCATCTGGTGATGTCCATGGGTAGAGTCTTCTCTTGTGTTGTTGGAAGAGGGTGTTTGCTATGACCAGTGCGTTCTCTTGGTAAAACTCTTATTAGCCTTTGCCCTGCTGCATTCTGTACTCCAAGGCCAAATTTGCCTGTTACTCCAGGTATCTCTTGACTTCCTGCTTTTGCATTCCAGTCCCCTATAATGAAAAGGACATCTTTTTTCTGGTGTTAGTTCTAGAAGGCCTTGTAGGTCTTCATGGAATCGTTCAGCGTCAGCTTCCTCAGCATGGGCAACCTGTTTTTGGTGGGTTTCAGTGTCCTCCTGTCAATGGTGTTCAAAAGTTAGTTGCAGTTTTGGTACTCTTGCAGGAGGAGATGAGCACATGTCCTTCTATTCCTCCATCGTGATTTGATCTTTCCATTAACTCTTAAAAAAAGACTTTATTAATTATTTATTTTTGGCTGTGCTGGGTCATGGCTGCCGTGCGGGTTTCCTCTAAGTGCGGTGCCTGGGGGCTACTCTGTCGTTCCAGCACACGGACTCGTCACTGCAGGGGCCTCTCTCAATGCAGAGCGTGGCTCTAGGGTGTGTGGACTCAGTAGTTGCCCATGAGCTCTAGAGTGTGGGTTCAATATTTGTGGCACATAAGCTTAACTGTTCCACGTACGCAGGCTCTTCCAGGCCGGGGACTGAAACCCATATCTCCTGCATTGCTAGGTGGATTCTTTACCACTGAACCACCAGGGAAGCCCTCTGATGATGAACCCTTGAGATAGTCTTTGGAGACTCAGGGGAAGCCTGGGAGGCCACAGCAAAAGCCTTTGACTTCAAAGGACAGGGACACAAGGGCTTCAATGTTATGGGCTATTCTTTCTTCTCAATCCCAATAGCCACCAAAAGATGCTGACACTCTCAACCCTGGATCCTGCCCATGCTGCCTTGGTGAATAAACTCTGGTATTTTGGTGGCAATGAAAGGAGCCGGAGGTTCATCGAGCGCTGTATCCAGACCTTCCCCAGCTCATGCCTGCTGGGGCCCGAGGGGACCCCTGTGTCCTGGATGCTGATGGACCAGACGGGAGAGCTGCGGATGGCAGGCACCCTGCCTGAGTACCGGGCCAAGGGGCTCATCTCCTACCTCTCCTGTGTCCATGTCCAGAGTCTGGACAAACTGGGGTTCCCCTTGTATTCCCACGTCGACAAGGCCAATCACATCATGCAAAGAGTATGCTCCAACATGCAGAGTATCTCTGTGCCCTGTGGCTGGAACCAATGGAACTTCGTGCCTCTGTAAAGTGGACCTGAATGCAAGAGAGCATTGAGCGGGTGCAGAATGTGTCTGGAGAAGCCAACGGAGAGAAAGAGTGCAGTGTAATGGGGGGTGATGAAATGGCCCGAGCTTGAAGGAAGCAGTGATGTGTGGTGCACAGGACAGACTCAGTCCCTGTGCTCAAATACTTCCCAGAATTTCCTTAGTTTCCTCAGTAGGAAACAGCTCAGGTGCCCAGCTGTCTGGGTACTTGGATACTTTCAGCATCCTTGTCATGATTTACACTTAGTTGCATGCTTTTCTACATTGGTGTTCCTGGAACTCCTAGCTCATTAACTCTTTCCAGTTTGCCAGAAGTGTTGTAATATCCTGTGGGTTTTATGATGATTTTTTCCCTCTGGCTTTCTATGACTTTTTAATTGACTAGAGAGTGACCTGTCCATTAAGTAGATCTTTGAAGATCCTCCTCTCTCAGGTCATTTCTTAAGCCTTATATTATAATCACATGAAATATATTATACAAATATCACTATACATTCCTCTATCTATCTATAAAGGTGTTGTTATTGCTTAGTCATTAAGTCATATCTGACTCTTTTGTGACCCCATGGACTGTAGCCCTCCAGGTAGCTCTGTTCATGGGATTTCCCAGCAAGGATACTGGATTGGGTTACTATTTCCTTCTCCAGGGGATCTTCCCAACCCAGGGATCAACCCTGAGTCTCCTGCATTGAAAGCAGATTCCTTACCACGGAGCCACCAGAGAAGCCACTCACACACACACACACACACACACACACACACACACACAATGCAGCATAGAAAATTAAAAGAGAAAGACTAACTGGTATCAGTATCCTTTTTTGCAACACCTACTGGAACTGTGCAAACCCTTGTGTCCTTGTCTTTTGAAGTAAAATGCCGACTCAAGAGTTAATGATTGGAAAATGTGAAGATGAAGAAACAAAGAATAGCTGTTGGGTTAGGGAATGGGTAACAATTGAGAATAAAATTCTGCCACATAACAGAATCACTGAACTCACAGTTCTCTGAAAGGTACAGATAAAGGCCTGACACACATCCCTAAGCAGTTTTTACAGGAAGAAGACCCTCTCCAAATGAAAACCACTGACCATGAGAACAAAGATCCTAGACTGGTTGAAACCAGAAAGTTGATGATGCTTGAAGCTTCACTTTGATTACAACTAATCCAAAAACTGTCCATGCTCATCACACCCTGCTCCCTGAACATGATAAAACCCTTCTCTACCCTGTCCAGCATGGGCCACGCGGTCTTCAAGGCATTAGCCCACTCTGGCCTCCTTTGTCTGGTCAAGCGGTGAAAGCTGCTCTTATCCACTTCACTCAGAACTCTGTCTGCACGTTTCTGTTGGGCACTGGGTTTCTGTTGGCACTGTTGGCACTGAGGCTGAGTTTCGGCAACACTGTCTCAGGAAAGAGATACTAACGTTGTTTCTGTTAAGACTTTCTTGGTGGTCATGTGATTAAGAGTCCGCCTTCCAATGCAGGGGCCATGGGTTTGATGCCTGGTCAGGGAACTATGATCCCACATGCTAAGAGGCAGCTAAGCCTTTATGCTACAGCTAGAGAAAGCCTGTATGCCCCCAACGAAGAGTCCAGACATCAGGAAGAGCCCACACATTACGAAGGAGACCCAACTCTGCCAAGAAAAAATTGTTCCTGTTGACTGAAATATCAATAAAAATGCACAAGGTGAAAGCTGTGGGTTTCAGATTTATTGTGGGGTTTGCTGAGGACTAGCCTGTGAGACAGCCCTTCAGATAACTCTGAGGAATTCCTCCAAAGAGGTAAGGAGATTGGGGTGGGTGAAATGATACAGATGAACTTATTTATAAAGCAGAAACAGACTCACAGGCTTAGAGAAAGAGTTTATGATTACTGTGGGGAGGGGAGGGGAGAGGGATAGTTAGGGAATTTGGGACTGACAGGTACACACTGCTATATTTAAAATGGATAACCAACAAGGACCTACTATACGGCACAGGGAACTCTGTTCAGTTATGTAACACTCTAACTGGGAAAAGAATTTGATAAAGAATAGATACATGTGTATGTATAACTGAATCATTTTGTTGTAAATCTGAAACTAACATAATCAGTTCAGTTCAGTTGCTCAGTTGTGTCCGACTCTTTGTAACCCCATGGACTGCAGCACACCAGGCTTCCCTGTCCATCACCACCTCCTGGCGTTTACTCNTGAGTTGGTGATGCCATCCAACCATCTCATCCTCTGTCGTCCCCTTCTCCTCCTGCCTTCAATCTTTCCCAGCATCAGGGTCTTTTCTAGTGAGACAGTTCTTCGCATGAGGTGGCCAAAATATTGGAGTTTCAGCTTCAGCATCAGTCCTTCCAATGAATATGCAGGACTGATTTCCTTTAAGATTGACTGGTTTGATCTCCTTACAGTCCAATCAATTATACTCCAAACCAAAATAAAAAGTTTTTAAAAATGAGAAGCTAAAGGGGGAGGCCAGCATGTATGTGATTTTAGAGCAGGGGTACTTGCGACCAAGCATACTTCTTGGTAGATAACTGTTAGGCATGATGGACAGATACCACGGTGGATGATTTTAGTGCTTTTCTAAGTATGGAAAGATGCAAGAATTGGGATTCATGAAAGTTTCCCCTGAAAATGTCTAACTCTCTGAAGACCTGTTCTGCCCGCTTTCCTAGAGCATGAGTGCCTCATTCTTGATCTCCACCCTGAAATCTTTTCAAGGGGTGTGTTGAAGGTCAGCAACTATGATGGCTAACGACCATCCTTTAGAACCAGATAGCAAGTGACACTTTTTAGTTGATATTGTTGAAAGCTGAGCTTTCTTAATCGCCGTCCTCCAGTCCACATATAACAAAGAGACTCTCTGTTTGGTTGTGGAAGCTTAATCTACATGGTCCATGAAAGCAGCATGGGGAGAGGAGGGGCTGGGTGCACTTGGACCAGAAAGAGGAGCTTGGACTACCAGGGACAGAGTTGGGGAGGCTCTGTGTAGGGAGGAGACTGGGGTCTCACCTGACAGCAGCACATAATTTCAAGATATTTGAACCCTCTGTAACGTGACTAAGTAGGGTCTTGTGAGAGTCTCACTGGTGAGGCCACCAGATGATTTTTCTCTGAGTCTCTCTGGGAAGACCGTCCCAACACTGCCAGAGGAAGGGGGCCTGCTTGAAGGAAAACAGAAGGAAAGAGAATGATACCAGTTTAAGACTTGGGACCACCACGGTCCTTAGCAGCACACCACAGCTTTCTTAACACATCAGAATAAGAGCTCCACTTTCTATAGTTGAGCACCAGCTAAAGCATCTCCCCCAGAAAGGCCCTGAAGTCAGCAAGGGAAGAGGGGCTTGGTGACCCTGCAGTAGGGAGAGGAGACATCACGACACTCAGTAAAGAAGAAAAGACCTCATAATACCAGACAAGGAGAGAGAGGGAAGCTAAGCGTCATGCTCCTCAGGCTGTAGGGGGATTGCTATGTGCAGAGAGAAAGGTTGGCTTTACATTTATCAGTCAGCTGACTTCAGATGAAGGGGTCCGAAAAGAGTGCCAACGATACTCATTTGAAAAGGGTTCGCAGGGTGCGGGAGAGGGGAGAGGAGGAACTGGCTGCTGCTTCTACTGAGCCCAGACTCACTCTGGGTGCCACAGAACACGCCAACCACATCGCAGAGGAGATGTTGAGGCAGGGAATGTGGGTTTATTCAGAAAGCCAGCAGACCAAGAAGATGGCAGACTAATGTCTCAAAATAACCATCTTAAGGGGTCTGGATGCCAGGTTCTTTTATAGGACAGAGAGGGAGGGGAGAGAGAAAGTAAACTAAAAAGGTCATTAATCTTGCCAAATGGAGGGGGGGGATGTGTTAATTTCTTCTTTTCTCAAGGTAAGCTAGGTCACCCTGAGTCTGTCTCTTGAGTCGCTCTTGAGAGTCTCTCTGTGAGCTGAACAAAGGCACTTCAGTTTAATAGTCAGGCACAGGGGCAGGGTTCCCCAAGGTAGGCTATTAAGTGTGATAATAACAACAAGAGCAATGACAAGCAAAGATTAAAGCCAAAGAAACAAACCCAACATAGAATCAGAATTGGCTCTTCCCCACAACACTGTTGTAGAAATTAGTCTGTTATAATTGCTCTTTCAGGCCAAACCACAAATTCTGAACGTACTTGTTCTGGGATTCTGAGCATCTCTTTGAGACTTCCCTGGTGGTCCAGTGTTTGCGAATCTGCCTTCCAATACAGCGGACAAGAGTTCGATCCCTGGTCAGGGAAATAAGATCCCACATGCCAAGGGGCCACAGCAGCTAGATAGGTGCCTCTGTGTGGACAAAGAGTCCAAGGGCCACAATTAAAGCTTTACATAGCCAAAAATAAATAAATAAATAAAATATTGTTTAAAAAAGCAGTCTTGTGTGTAGCCTAAGAATTCTCAAGTAAAGACAATGGTGCTATTTTGAGGACCAGATTTTAAGGGACTAAAAATAACTGTGTACATGTGCAATTGAGACAAATCATGGACCAAAACTTCAGGAGATGGTGAAGGACAGGAAAGCCTGGCGTGCTCTGGTCCATGGGGTTGCAAAGAGTCAGTCACGACTGAGCAACTAAATAGCAACATGGACAGAAAGGTAGGAAAAGACCAAAAATACCCAGTTGCTACTTCTGAAGTGTGCTGTGTTCTAAGTCAGTTCTGTCGTGTCTGACTCTTTGTGTCCCTATGGACCACAGCCCACCAGGTTCCTCTGTCCTTGAGATTCTCCAGGAAAGAACAGTGGACAGGGTTACCTTGCTCGCCTCCAGGGGATCTTCCCTGCCCAAGGGATCAAACCCATGTCTCTTATGTCTCCTGTATTGGCAGGCAGGTTCTTTACTGCTAGAGCAGGGAGTGAAAAAACAAAACAAAACAGGATGTGCTAAGGAAAGGCAGGGTACTGAGCATGCCCCCTGCATACAACAAAACCAAATGGGTGGCCAAGACCACCTACGCTACTTCTTCCTGCCCAACCCCTGGACAAAACTCTGCCCTCACCAAATATAAAAAACCAACTCTCATATAAAAAGCCACCCAATACAAAAAGCAAGCTCACTTGAATACTCAAGAAATTAAACCTCAATCGTGCGTGTGTGTGTGTGTATGTCTATGTGAGTGG